CCGGCCACTGCACTCCAGCCTGGGCGACAGAGCCAGACTCCGTCTCAAAAAAAAAAAAAATTTGACATGGAATTTCAGTGTATAGAATCTGAATATATGCAAGAAAAATGTAGGACCACTGCTTGAAAAACTCTTCAGTTTACCCCCGAGCTGGTCAATAAGGTCATAGGGCTTCCCGGATACAGCTCGAAACACACTAGACTAGACGGCTCTGTCAGTAATTACACTAGATGGAGCCCCCGCCGCCCCATGGCCAAGCCATGTTTACAATAGCTAGTTTACAACCCCTAGGAGTCACCCTTGACTCACTGAACAAGCAATGTTCAAGTGACTACTGTTTGCCACCACCTGGGTTAGACCCTGGGTACACAAAGATGAAGGAGGCTCAGGTCTCATCCTTGAGGAGCTCAGAGTCTATGCAGAACTACTTTCTAAACTTTAGGGAGCATTGTAATTGCCTGGGCTGCTCATTAATATGTATTGTTTCTGGTTTTCACCCCAGAAATGCCCATTCGAAAGGTATGGGGGAGCCTAGAAAGCTGCATCTTTAATCTAGTGGGAGAAACACAAACATAAGTGCAGTAATGAGGAACCAATGCGCTGGGTGTCAATGGAGGCAGCAGGAGGACTGCAGGATGATGGAGGGGCGTGACAGGCACCCAGGCGGGCATCATGAGGCAGGGAGGGCGTGCCAGCAGAGGAAGCCCCAAGGGGCAAGTCCCAACTGCCTGGCTGTTAAAGTCTTCCAGAGGAGTGAGCCAGAGCCAGACCTGAAAGGGCCGCACAGTAGGGCTGGTCATACAACAGCAACCTGAGAGGAGCTCGCTCATATGGTGCACTGCTTCGCATCACTGTGCTAAGGACTTCACACATGTTCTCATTTCATTCTCACAAGTCCCACCAGGTAGTGCTACTAGTATTCCCACTTCATGAATGATGTTGACATTTAGCGAGATTAAGTGACTTGTAGAAGGGGAACCAGGACTGGAACCCAGGTTTGTTCCTTTCCAAACCCATGTCTTTAACTATTAAATCCTATTGCTTCTTTTTTTTGAGACGGAGTCTCGCTCTGTTGCCAGGCACGGTCTCCGCTCACTGCAACCTCCTCCTCCTGGGTTGAAGTGATTCTCCTGCCTCAGCCTCTCAAGTAGCTGGGATTACAGGCACGTGCCACCATGCCCCGCTAATTTTTTTGTATTTTTAGTAGAGATGGGGTTTCACCATGTTGGTCAGGCTGTCCTTAAACTCCTGACCTCGTCATCTGCCCGCCTCAGCCTCCCAAAGTGCTGGGATTACAGGAGTGAGCCACCGTGACCAGCCTTTGTTTTGTTTTGTTTTGTTTTTCGAGACAGAGTCTTGCTCTGTCACCCAGGCTGGAGTGCAATGGCATGGTCTCAGCTCACTACAATCTCAGCCTCCCACGTTCAAACAATTCTCCTGCCTCAGCCTCCGAAATAGCTGGGACTGCAGACATGCCCCACCATGCCTGGCTAATTTTTATATTTTTAGTAGAGACAGGTTTCACCATATTAGCTAGGCTGGTCTTGAACTCCTGACCTCAGGCAATCCATCCTCCTTGGCCTCTGAAAGTGCTGGGATTACAGGCATGAGCCACTGTGCCCGGCCCCTATTGCCTCTTAAAGGATGTAGACAAGGGAATGAACCAAAACAATCTGTAAGAGGTAAATTTCAGAGGACCTGAGGATTGGTTGGCTGTAAGGAGTGAGCAGTCACTCCCTCTTCTCCAGCCTGGGGTGCCTAAGTGATGCCACCGACCTGAAAGATTTGTGGAAGAGGCTGAGGAAGGAAGACTCTGCTAGCTGCCTAGGGAAATGCCTGCAAGTAGCTGGATGTGTGGGAATGAAGCCTGGGTAGAAATCTGAGATAGAGATGTTAGTTAGGGAATCAGTGGAAACTGTGAAACTCAATGAGTTCACTCAGAAAGAGAGGTGTTGAGTGAGAGGAACAGAAAAATGGAGGATAAGTAGAGTGTGCAAAGGAGGCAGTGAAAGGGAGTGTCACGGAAGCCACGGGAGTGGAGTTTCAGGAAGAGTCACCTGAGTTCAAGTGCGTAGAGAGGTCCAGAAAGATAAGGACTGAACAGTACCCACCGGAGTGGCACGTTTGATGGTTACTGACGACCTTATTAAGGAGTCAAGTTTCAGGAGCCCATTATAGCACGTCGCAGAAGAACTAAGTGGGACAACAGCAAGCTGGAGAGAGCAGGTATGGACCATTCTTTTGAATGACTAGAATGGGAAGTGAGGGGAACAACTGCAGGACATGACAGGAGGTGGAGCAGCCTGGAAGACAGACTCCCAGTGCTTCTCTGCACGGGTTGGCATTTGCCAGCATAAACTGCTAGGATGGCGAGAGTAATCCATCCTTTGCCTTGTGAAAATGGGCTTTTGCAACCAGGCAGATGACTGTGGTTCTCAAGCCAAAGAAATGGAGAAGAGGCATCGTAGCCTTAAGAGATAAAGGCTAGGGATGAATTTTTCTTCAAAATTCTCCATTTCCTGGAAGTCTTCACTCCTAGTTCCCACACCTGCTGGTGACAAGACACAGTTCTGATTTCCCTGCCTGAGAGGCCCAGCCGGGGTCCAAAGGAACAGGTGCATCCTGGTGCTGTTCCGCCAGCCAACAGGTGGCCACCCGCCCTTCTGGGTGGCATCTTTCCAGTTCTACAGAAACTAGAAAACTAAAACAACAACAAAGGGACTGCTGGGCGTCGCTGAGTCAGACCCGTGTGACACCTGGCCGCCCGCACACCCCATGCCTGCCTAGAGGGCCTTTCTGGGCCTGCTGTCCAGAGCGCATGCGCCGCCCTGCCGCTAACTCTCCGCAAGGGCTGAGGGGTGGGCCAGGTCCGTCTCTGCAGGAGCGCCCCTCTAACAAAGGGCATGGCTCCACTTACTATTTACTTAAAAACAGTACATCTTTTTCTATTGGAGTGGTTGGCGATTGGGGATTGCTCCTTTGTTTCTCACAAAGCCCAGGCAATCCCCACCGGGTTTGTTTGGGGTGGGCAGGGTCCAGGTGGGTGAAACAACGGAAATGGTGTAACTCCTTTGGGGAACCACAGACAGAAGCAAGGGCTGGGAGGGGAGTTTTCTTTCTTTCTTTCTTTTTTTTAAGTTAAAAGACTTGGCCATATTTATAATCCAGGGTGGAATGCAGGGTGGAAGAAACCGAAATTTGAGTAGAGAAGACTGGCAGAGCAGATCCCCCCAACCCCGGCACCGCGAAGAGTTGGTGAAGTCGGCGTCATCTGAGGACAGAGGGCAGTGGGGAGCTTGGCCTGGGTCCAGACTGTGACAGCATCTCCTGCAGACGGGATATTTGCCCTGTGTCTGACACCGCGTCAGTACTCACGACCACTTGTGGGCCATCCAAGGCCATGAATGAGTGGTGACCCAGTGTGGGCCCCAGCAGCCCCGCTCCAGATCCTGTGCCCTTAACCAGCACAAACCAACATGCAGCTCCACCGTATCTAACCAAAGGGCCCAAAGGCAATAGAGATCACACTTTTGGATTAATTTTCTCTACGTGGCAAGAAGCAAAGTCATCAGCCCAGAGAGAGAGGGGCCGGGAACTGACAAGGAGTTGTGGGGAGCATGGTCCAGGATGGGGGAGGGTGATGACCAAGGATGAATGTATTACCCGTAGGGGACCTGGATAAAACAAATAAGATCGTGCCTTTTCTCCAGCAGCACAGAGTCATTTGGGCTCCTACCAGAGAGGGCCGACTGCAGCACGGAGGGAGAGAATGGAAAGACCAGAGCAGGAGCAGCTCAGATTAGCCCTGATGAGGTGCAGGACAGGTGGGATGGGCAGGATACGAGGGCTGGGAATAGGAGCTAACGGAGTGTTTGGGGGCTGGGGGTGGCTGTGAGGTTAAAGAGAAGGTACCACTTGAGTGAAGTGGCAAAGAGGGAAGGACTGGAGGCAGTGCTCAGAGTGTGGGGGACCAGTGAAGGCTTAAAGATACATGTACATTCAGATGGGATTCAACAATTCAACATTTATAATAAAGAACCACGACCAAAGCTAAGGAGGGTCTCTGGTGGGCTGAGTTACTCTAGACTGAATGTTTGTGTTCCTCAAATTCATACGTCGAAGCCTAACTTCCAGTGTGATGGTATTCAGAGATGGTACCTTTGGGAGGTGATCAGGTCGTGAGGGTGAAGCCCATGAACAGGATGACTGCCCTTATAAAAAAAAGGGGACCCCAGGGAGCTCCCTCACCCCTTCTGCCACGTGAGAACGCAGCAAGAAAACACCATCTAAGAACCAGGAAGCCAGCCCTCACCAAACACCAAATCCACCAGGGCCTTGATCTCCTCAGCCTCCAGCACCCTGAGAACTGATTGATGTTTAAACCCATTTATGCCTGAAGTTGCAATTTTTTGAATTTTTGCTATCAGACCTTGGCAATTACTTTGAGCAGTAGGATATAAATAGCTCCCACATGCTTAGCGTTCCGATAATGGAACGCTAGGCATAAATGGGTTTAAGCTGCCCAGTCTGTGGAATTTTGTTGTGGCAGCCAGGGCAGCCTATGAGGGAGTGGCTGGCTGTGTCCTTGAGAACTGTTTCTTTACTGTTTCTCTCTTTCTTCCTTTCTTTCTCTCTTTCTTTTCTTTTTTTTTTTTTTTTGAGACGGAGTCTTGCTCTGTAGCCCGGGCTGGAGTGCAGTGGCCGGATCTCAGCTCACTGCAAGCTCCACCTCCCGGGTTTACGCCATTCTCCTGGCTCAGCCTCCGGAGTAGCTGGGACTACAGGTGCCCGCCACCTCGCCCGGCTAGTTTTTTGTATTTTTAGTAGAGACGGGGTTTCACCATGTTAGCCAGGATGGTCTCGATCTCCTGACCTCGTGATCCGCCCGTCTTGGCCTCCCAAAGTGCTGGGATTACAGGCTTGAGCCACCGCGCCCGGCCTCTTTCTTTTCTTTGTCTCATCGCTTTCCTTTCCTTCTTTCATCTTCTTTTTTTCTTGAGCGTCGCCTCCTACGCCCGCCGCATCTGCAGCAAGCGCGCACCGTGAACCTCCGGGTAGCAGCGCAGGTCTCGGGCTGCGCCACAGCCGCGCCGGCAGAGCTATTTTTAGCCGCCGCAGCCTGCCCGGCCACCAGACTGGGTGGGCGGCACCCAAAAGCGCCCCGCCCATCGAGGCCCAGTAGCTGGGATTACAGGCGCCTGCCACCACTCCTGGCTAAATTTTTGTATTTTTAGTAGAGATGGGGTTTCGCCATGTTGCCTAGGTTGGTCTCAAACTCCTGGTCCCAGGTAATCCGCCCGTCTCAGCCTCCCAAAGTGCTGGGATTACAGGCATGAGCCACCATGCCTGGCTTTACATTTTCTTTCTTGCTGGTGACTTTTACCCTCCTGTTGGCATTGAGATGGCCACACTAGTTCCAGAAGCTAACCAATGAAAAAAACTTGTGCTTTGGACCAAGGGCCTTTTTCCTGGCAGTCTCTCAGCAGACACCCTCCTGTCTCCCAGGCCTGTGCTGGGTCACATGAAGGCTCCTAAATGAACCTCAGACCCTCAGACCACAAGGCAGCCTTGCAGCAAGGGGGCGGCTTCCCTGAGGCACTGAGTATGAGATGGGTACCACCACAAAGTCAAGGTTCTGTTAGGGAGGAAGAAGGTCCTCAGAGTGGGATACTGGAGTTTGAGATTTTTGAGGTGAAAGAGTTCAAAATGTGAGCAAGAGCCAAGATCGTGCCATTGTACTCCAGCCTGGGCAATAGGAGTGAAACTCCGTCTCAAAAAAAAAAAAAAAAAAAAGGGCCAGGCGCAGTGGCTCACGCCTGTAATCCCAGCTTTGGGAGGCCAAGGTGAGCGGATCACCTGAGGTCAGGAGTTCAAGACCATCTTGGCCAACATGGTGAAACTCCCTCTCTACTAAAAATATAAAAATTAGCTGTGCGTGGTGTTGGGCACCCGTAATCCCCGCTACTCAGGAGGCTGAGGCAGAGAATCACTTGAACCTGGGAGGTGGAGGTTGCAGTGAGCCGAGATCGTGCCACTGCACTCCAGCCTGGGTGACAGAGTGAGGCTCCATCTTTAAAAAAAAAAAAAAAAAAAAAAAATAGGAAGGCCCAGGGACCACAGCCCTCTGGGTAGGTCATTCTTGAGGATATTGATATCACCCAGAATTATGGCACAAGGTGGCAAGGGCATGGAGAGGGACACAGCAAGCCAACCTGCCAGACCCCATAAGTGGAGGGGTGCTGGAGAGGAGCAGGTGACAGACAAAGAGGAAAGGGGGTGGGGTGTGCTTCTTTTCCTTCTCCTTGAACCCTGTTGACTATAAGCACCTTAATTCTGAGCAGGTTTTGTCCTACTGCTCTGGGCAGGTGCCCATGTCTTTCCTATCTAGGGCAACAGCTTCTTGCCTGGCCTCCCTGCCTGCCCCTACTCCCTCTACTCCCTGGTTTCCAAGCTTCACTGCACTCTGGAATCCCCAGGGAGCTTCTCAAAGCCTAATGCCCAGGCCACACTGCAGTCCAGTTGAAGGAAAGTCCCTACGGCTGCTTCCAAGCACCAGCGCTTGCCAGGACTCCTCGGGTTATCCATTATTATGCAGCCCGGGTTGGAACGACACCTCTGCCTGTCCCCACACTGCCCATTCTCTTCTCAAAAGCCAGGTGGAAGTGGTACAGTTCTTTTAGAATTTGTCTGGCAGGTCTTCTTGTTTTTACTGGAAAATCCTCCAAAGGAAAAAATAATAAAAAGGCAGTAGGAGCAAGTCATTCCCATTCATTCAAAAAACAGTTGTCTGGCTAGCACCGTGGCTGTCACCTGTAGTCCCAGCACTTTGGGAGGCCAAGGCAGGAGAACTGCTTGAGCCCAGGAGTTCAATGCCAGCCTGGGCAACATAGCAAGACCCTGTCTCTACAATACATTTGGTTTTTATTAACCGGGCATAGTGCCTGTGGTCTCAGCTACTTGGGAGGCTGAGGAGAGAGGATCACTTGAGGCCTGGAGGTTGAGGCTGCAGTGAGCTATGATCACACCACTGCACTCCAGCCTGGGTGACAGAGTGAGACCCTGTCTCTCTCTCTTCTTTTTTTTTTTTTGAGACAGAGTCTCGCTGCGTCATCCAGGCTGGAGTGCAGTGGCGTGATCTTGGCTCACTGCAACCTCCGCCTTCCGGGTTCAAGCGATTCTCGTGCCTCAGCCTCCCGAGTAGCTGGGATTACAGGCATGCACCACCACATCCGGCCAATTTTTGTATTTTTAGTAGGAGATGGGGTTTCACCATGTTGGCCAGGCTGGTCTCAAACTCCT